CAGACCGGGCTGCGGGGGCGTTGACCCCCGGAACTCTCTCCAGATAAACTCCAGATAAACAACAATGGGCCTAAAACTGATCCCTGTGGAATGCCACTTGATACAGATCCCCACTCAGATTTAGACCCATTTATGCACACTCTCTGCTTCATATTAGTGAGCCATGACTCGATCCATGACAGCATTTTTCCCCCAGTGCCATGAGCAGCCACTTTCTTCAACAGTCTCTGATGTGGTACTCTATCAAAAGCCTTACTAAAATCTAAATAAACAAAATCGAATTCTTTATCCTGATCAACGGCCTCAAAAGCTTTGCTGAAGAAGGTTACTAAATTAGTTAGGCAGGAACGGCCCCTGGTGAAACCATGTTGAGTATCATTAATCAAATTATGCCTATCTAGATGGCTTCTTATATTATCATCTATAATTGACTCTAGTAATTTGCCTACAATTGAGGTTAGGCTTATTGGGCGGTAATTTGATGGTAACGACTTGTCCCCTGCTTTAAAAATAGGAATTACATTAGCCATCTTCCACATATCAGGCACTACATCTGTTTGAAGAGATGAATTAAAAATATTAGTTAAAGGTTCACAGAGTTCCATTTTACACTCTTTAAAAACCCTTGAAAAAAGTTCATCAGGGCCCGGGGATTTATTTTGCTTTAACCGGTCTATCTGTTTGATAACCATTTCGCTAGTGACTGTGATATTGCATAATTTATCATCTTCAAGCCCACTATAAAAGTTAATTACTGGGATATTGTCAGTGTCTTCCTGAGTGAAAACCGAGAGAAAATAATTATTAAGAATAGAGCACATTTCATTCTCCTTGTCAGTGAGATGCCCAGAGTTATTTTTAAGGGGACCTATCTTATCTCTAACTTTTGTTCTATAAACCTGGAAAAAACTTTTGGGTTAGTTTTTGAATCCCTAGCAACTTTAATTTCAAAGTCCCGTTTAGCTTTTCTTATCCCCTTTTTAATGTCCATCTTAACCCTTTGAGGGTCGACAGGCCCTCTCCAAGACTTGTTCTCAGGGTCGGCCAAATTTAAAAAAAAAATATTTTTTACTATGAAAAGATAGAGAATCTTTTCCCGATCATATTGACACTAAAAGTATGAAATTTGACGGAAAACTTACGGAATTATGCTTTCGCAAAGTTAGTGGTCTTGACGATGTTTACGCATCGGCGATTTTGCCCACTTTGAGCCCTATTTTCAGCCAATTCCAGTGTACTAGTCGACAAAAATCATAACTATTTCTCTAGAACTCTATTTTTCTATTGAATGAGTACAAGAAACCACCCATTTACTGATTTCAACTATCCAATACAGTGGTCAGAATTTAGCAATTTTGCCAATTTCACACAAATTTCAAAAGATGCCAATTTCCAAATAGGGTCCAGAATAAACAAGAAAGACATTCCTGGCACTAAAATAACATTTCCTCTGTTCGTTAGTCACATCCCCAGGCCCCTCTTATATTTCTTTGGCTTTCCACTTTCAATTTTTATTCTTACAAAAAATAGAAGATTTACTGTTATGCAAACTGCTGCATTAGTGTAGAAATGGTATAAATAATATCAGCGCACTTGTGAAAGAATATTAGACTCACCAGTTGATGTGTATTGGACGCTTGGCATGATTTGTTTACTTTTGAACTTTGGTAAAAATCGAACATTTCTGCTACTTTGAGCTCAATTTCAAGGTACTTTTCATTGTAAAACCAGTCAAAATCATCTCAATTTCTGTAACATGTCTTCCATTCTATAAAATGAGACAAAGAAAGCTAGAATACAACAATAAATACCATACGAAAATACAGTGCAAAGTCGCTGTTTTATTCCAAAAACACGGTCAAAGTTTTTTTTTTCATTATGCACTGTGTGCTGCAGGATTTTTTTATACTGTGCACACTGACCACATAGACCCATTCTTTCATATGTATGCCTACAAGCTTTCTCCCACTAGATTTGAGGGCGCTAGAATTTAGGCGTACTAGTACGTCAAAAACCCTGGGTCGTAAGCCATACTAGTACGGCCGAAACCCTCAAAGGGTTAATGTCAATATACTGATTCATAAGATGACCCTCACCTCTTTTGATACACCTATAAATTCCTTTCTTCTGTCCTAAAAGATATTTGAGCCTATTATTCATCCATTTGGGGTTATTTTTATTCAATCTAATTTCCTTATATGGGATAAATGTCCTTTGGGCAGCATGTACTGTGTTAAGAAAGCTGTCATACTGATAGCTCTCTTCGTTACTCCAGTCCACAGATGATAAGTGTTCTCTAAGCCCATTGTAATCTGCTAAGCAAAAATCTGGGACCATTACTGAATTATCCCTACTATCATACTTCCATTCAATGCTAAAGGTAATTGATTTGTGATCGCTTGTTCCGAGTTCCTCTGTAATTTCTAAATTATTAACAAGGGTTTCCTTGTTTACCAGAACCAAATCAAGCAGGTTATTTCCCCTTGTAGGCTCTGTCACAAACTGCTTCAAAAAAACAATCCTGAACTACTTCTAAGAAATCGTTAGATTCTAAATTCCTAGTCATGAAATTCCAATCAATCTGACCAAAGTTGAAGTCCCCTAGAATTACTACGTTATCTTGCCTTGTGGCCTTAACAATTTCCTCCCATAGTAGTCTCCCTTGGCTCCTATCTAAGTTTGAGGGACGGTATATCACACCTAAAATAAATTTTTCGTGTTGCTCTGAAAATTCTATCCAGATTCTGTGTGTTATTTCAAATTTTATACCCTTTTTTATGCAATAGTTCAAGCAATCTCGGACATACAATGCCACCCCACCCCCCTTCCCGATACTTCTATCTAGTACTTGGAACAATTTAAAACCCTGAATGTGACATTCTGCAGCCATGTCCCAACTTTTTGAATTAAACCACGTCTCAGTTATGGCAAATACTATATCAATGTTACCTGCACTAGCAACTAATCTCAACTCATCCATCTTATTCCTAGCACTACGGCTATTAGCATAATATACATTGAAAGACCCTCCTTTCTCTTTAACCTTCCTGCTCATTTCTGTTTTTCCACTAAACCTATTACTGTCCTTGTCACCTAGTGTCACTGGCTTTTCAATATTTACCTCATTCTGCTTATTACTAGTTCCCCTAGAACTCATAATATTACTACACTGGGACTTCACTGTTTTCCTGCCAAAACCCATACCACTAACTATTCCTAGTTTAAAGTCCTAACAGCTCCCTCCACTGCAGTTGCCAGTGACCCCACCCCAGACCTAGATAAGTGTACCCCATCCCTGGCATACATGTCATTTCTTCCATAGAAGAGGTCCCAGTTGTCAATGAGTGTTACTGCATTTTCCTTACAGTATTTGTCCAGCCAGCAATTGACACCAATTGCCCTGGACAACCATTCATTTCCAACTCCTCTCCTTGGCAAAATACCATATATGACAGGGTTCCCACCCTTCCTCCTAATTATTTCTATTGCTGACCTATACCTGCTAATCAGGTCCTCACTCCTACGTCTGCCAACATCGTTGCCTCCAGCAGTGAGACAGATAATAGGATTGCTCCCATTACCTCTCATAATGTCATCCAGATGGCTAACAATATCCTCCATCCCAGCCCCAGGAAAGCAAACCCTCTGTCTCCTACTCCTGTCCTTCAAGCAGAAGGCCCTATCCATGTACCTAACTTGGCTATCCCCAACTACAGCAATATTCTTACCTTCCTTGGTGTCGTTTGTCGTGACGTTCCCAGTAGTCGACTCACATTCGTCGGGTAGCACGGAGAATGCATTAGATGTTTCCACAACAGTTTCCACAGCAGTCTCTTTCTTCTTCATCGTTTCTACCTTTGCATTCGTCTTCTTGATCGTCAACTTCGTTCCATGCTGTCCAGCCACTGTCCAGTTTCCCTTCTTGACCTGAGGACTCAAAACAGGAGGATTACTACGAATCTTCTTGTTTTCCTCGGTCAGTCGCCGAATCTCCATCTTTGCCATCTTCAATTCTTCCTTAAGCTGTTGGTAAAGTTGCTCGATGGAGGGCATCTTGGTTCAGTCCGTAGAGAGCACACTCGACACGTCCTCACTGAGCTAAGTACAGGTCACCACTGAGCTAAGTACAGGCCACCACTGTTAAGTACAGGTCACCACTGAGCAAGGGGGTGTTGGATATGAGTGGGACTTGCATGTGAGTAAATAGGATTATTAAAGCTTATTGCTTGGGTAGCATTTATTCTGTTAGTAGGTTGGATTTGTGAAGGACCTGCCAAGTATGGGCCAACAGGCCTGCTGCAGTGTTCCTCCTTTCTTATGTTCTTATGTTGATGAGTGGCACAATCTGCCTAGTATGGTTATTGAGGCTGAAACCTTGGGTAGTTTCAAATTTGTGTTGGATAATTACACGAGTGAGAAGGGTTGGATGTGAGTGGGACCTGCACATGAGTAAATAGAATTATCAAAGCTTATTGCTTGGGTAGCATTGAAAACTGAGTTGGGCAAATATTCTGTTAGTAGGATCGACTGTGAAGGACCTGCCTAGTATGGGCCAACAGGCCTGCTGCAGCGCATTATTACTATTAGTACATATTATAATAATAATAATTATTATTATTATTATTAATTTAGGGAAGTGGAGCACAGATCCAATTCCCTTGATCAAGAGCCCCTCACCAAGGAACTTCCCTTGAGGGAGAAGTTCGCATCCTGAAATTTTGTTCATATCCAGAAGCAAAAAATCGATCGAGTGACTTCGTATCCTGAAAAATTCGCATGGTGGGGCATTCGTAAGCCGCGGTTCCACTGTATTATGAGAAATGTCAGAGAAGTTACTTGGAAAAATATCTATAATTAGTTTTGATTTTCAATAATAGCCCAGTCAAAGATTTTTAACTCCAATCATGTGTCCACAAAGATAAATATTTGATGGAAATTATGAAGCATGCAAAGAAATAAAATTGTTTATTGTTTATTTGCTTTAAGTCAACTCTTTTCACCTCTCATGGGAATCCTTTGATGTTCTGCGAGGCGGTGAATGTCTCCTTGACTCTCTTCTTCTGGGAGAATAATCAGGTGGACTCCTTGAGTGTTTCCTATGATTTCTATTCCTTTCCCTCCACCCATCATCAGAATAATTTTCAGGATAGCCATGGTCTTTATACCTGGGATCTAAACGTCCTCGATCCCCTTCATACCTGCGTTGTAAAGATTTGCTGAAGAAATTCTTAAAAATTGATTCTATATAAATTATCAACATATTATACCTATTTATAATGACATCAGTTACTGCTGAAACTGTTATATAATTTAATCACAATACACAAAAACATAAAACAACAGATTTATAACCTTGATGAAGTATGGGAAGATCGCTCCTGTCCTCGAGATGGTGGCTCACGTTCTCTCAAACGACCACTGTCTCTATAGTTACTTATTTTTGATGCCAAACCCCTATCTATGCCAGATCTAGAACCATGATCTTCAATGAGTGACCTATGAGATGTTGCTCGATCTTCATCCCAACTTGACCCTGGCCATGTCTGCTGATGTATATCAGGACCAACACCTCTTGGGGGTCCTGGGGGCTGTGCACCAGGCTGAGGTAGCTGTGCTGTTGGTGATGGACCCCAATTATAGCATGATGTTCCGCTGTAATTTAAACTAGGTGGTGGACAAGAGGGTGGTCCAGGAGATGGTCCAGGAGGAGGAAACTGAGGAACAGGCGGAGGACCTGAAGTGCCACTAGCCGGAATGGGAGGTGGTCCATTTAGTCCTGGAAATGGTCTTGGAGGAACAGCAAAATGAGTGTTTGGAGGAGGACACTGAGGTGGACCATGCTGAGTAGGGGGAAACTGACTAGGTGGGGGGATTGTGGGAGGAAAATGGAAAGGATCTGGCAATGGAGGTTCTGGTAAACCCTGTGAAGGACCTTGTGGGCAAGGCCAACTCTGATGTGGAGTATTCACAACAGGAGGGGGTACTTGATTAAAATAGGGTGGGCATCCAGAAGATGCTGGGGCTCCCCACTGTGGAGGTGGACCATTTCCAGAGCCCGAATATGACCACTGCGGACAACTAGAACCTCCAGGTCCTGACCATGCTGGTCCGGAACTCATGAGGCCACCTGAAGAGAAAGCAGTAGATGTATGTATATTCTTCATGAGAGTGTTAGTGATCCTAATGACAAATTTAATAAAAAAGTTTACAGAAAAATTATCTAAAAGTATTAAACAGCCTTTCCAGATCTTCGTACAGCTTCTCCTCACTTAGCGACGTACTCGTCAGACTTACGATGGGCTCTCTGACCAGTATTTATACCTAAATAATGTATATTAGAGCTGATTTCCTCTACTCTGTTTATTTCAATATACAGTACACTACTGGATAAACATTTAAAAATATACCAGAAATGTTATAAATGGTGGAAAGGTGACATTAAAACAATATCAAAGATGGCTGACACAAACCCATTACCATTATACAGTGGACCCCCGCATAACGATGGCATCACATAGCGATTATTTCGCATACCGCTTACTTTAATCGCAAAAATTTTGCCTCACATACCGCTTAAAAACCCGCTTACCGATTTTTGTCCGAGACGCGCTCACATGTTCCGCCGGTGGCATTGTTTACCAGCCAGCCTCCGCGGTAACATCCAAGCATACAATCGGAATATTTCGTATTATTACAGTGTTTTCGGTGCTTTTTCTGGAAAATAAGTGACCATGGGCCCCAAGAAAGCTTCTAGTGCCAACCCTACAGCAATAAGGGTGAGAATTACAATAGAGATGAAGAAAAAGATCATTGATAAGTATGAAAGTGGAGTGCATGTCTTCGAGCTGGCCAGGTTGTATAATAAACCCCAATCAACCATCGCTACTATTGGTGGTACAGCTGCTGCTGCTGCTGCACTGTCAGCTGCTGCTGCTGCTGTAGCACCGTTGTTGGTGTGGCTTATTGAGAATACCAAGAAACAATTAACCCCAGAGGATTTGCCACCCAGGATAACCCAAAAAAGTCAGTGTCATCGAAGACTGTCTAACTTATTTCCATTGGGGTCCTTAATCTTGTCTCCCAGGATGCAACCCACACAAGTCGACTAACACCCAGGTGAACAGGGAAAAATGCCTGGAACTAGTGCTCATATTGGTGAATTTAAAGCCAGCAAAGGTTGGTTTGAGAGATTTAAGAATCGTAGTGGCATACACAGTGTGATAAGGACTGTTCTGGAAGAAAATGCCAAACAGGACCTACAGTACTCAGGAGGAAAAGGCACCCCCAGGACACAGTGTCTCATCAGTCATTGCTGCATTTTCAATAAAGGTAAGTGTCATTTATTCTTCATTTAGTAGACTAGTACATGCACAATATATACTGTGCATGTACTATTTCTACTATTGTGCATGTATCCTTCTCTTTGTGTGTGGGAAAATGTATATTATTTAAAATGGTTTATTAAATTTTTGGGTTTAATTAATTTGATTTCCATTATTTCTTATGGGGAAAATTCATTCACATAGCGATTATTTCGCATAACAATTACCCCTCTTGCACGGATTAAAATCGTTAACCGGGGGTCCACTGTAGTATGCTCCTCACTTAGCGACAAATTCATTTAATGACGTGGTCTTAACAGAACTCCGTCATTAAGTGAGGAAAGGCTGTATACCTATCATTTCAAAGCATAGCTACAGATAAATTAAAACAATTTAATAAATTCTTAATCCTTTCAGGGTCCTGTGCCATAGATCTACGGCTTTACGTTCAGGGCCCAAAAACCGTAGATCTATGGCCAAAATTCTAGTGGCGTAAAATTTAGCGCGAAAAGGCTGGTAGGCCTACATGTGAGAGAACGGGTCTGCATGGTGTGTGTGTGCCGTAAACAAAAATTCTAGGCGCCTGCATAGCATTGTGGGAACGCCAGCTCAGTTACCTTTGTTCACCATGCCTCTTAGCAAGGCAGCTCTCACTCCAAGAAAAATTGGGACTCTCTTCTTCCTATCTGATAGTTCTGACTCTGATGGAAGTGGAAATGAAGATGAATTCTTTGGCTTTGATCAGTTAGTGACCGAAAGGAATGACCAGGATATCGATAACAGTGCAGAAAACCCTGACGATCCTCAACTTTCTACCTCTGGTGTGGGCACTCCTCAGTCACATTCAGTTGTACCTCATCGCAAGAGAAAACTATTATTTTCGTGTGGCCAGGCCTCTGACTTCAGTAATGATGATAGTGACATGGATTGTGATTTTATTGCTCTTGACGATCATTCGAGTAGTGATAGTGAGGAATCATATTCACCATTGAAGCGTCGGTATATATGCCGCCGCATGTGCTCGGGTAGTGTTCCCTATGCAGTGCCCAGGGGACTGAGTACATCCCGGAGTACATCCCGTGGCCCTACAACAGGAATAGACAGTGAAAGTGAGGATGATGTAGCTACACTTGGCATGGATAGACCACAGGCATTGGTAGGTGGTGGTATTGGTGGTGATGGTGGTAGTGGTGATGATGGTAGTGGTGATGGTAGTGCCACGGTCATGCATGACTCACCAGCCCAGGCTGGGGCCCACGCTGCCGACTCCTCAGTTCAAGGACAAGCGGAGCGTCAGCCACCAGCCCACCACAACCACAACTCCAGCACAACCAGCTTATGATGTCCAGTTTTCACCAGCAACCGTTCTGGGATTGGCAGCAAAATCCCAATTTTGTTCCCAAGCCCCACCAGTTTGATGACTCTCAAAGTGGAATTCTACCTACCTGTCCCCTTGGAAACACTGCAAATGAACTGGAATTTTTTGAACTATTCTTTGACCAGCCATTGATGGAAACTATTGTCAGGGAAAGTAACAAGTATTTTGAGTACACCATGGCAAATATGATGATATCACCACAATCAAGACTACACCTGTGGAAAGAGACAACTGTTGCAGAAATGTATTTGCTTTTTGCAACAATAATGTTTTATGCCTCATGTTATAAGCATAATATAAAATCATACTGGTCCACAGATCGGCTAATTTGTACCTGGTCTTCAGTGAAATCATCCCAGTGAACAGGTTTATCTTACTGTTACGTATGTTGCACTTCTCTGACAAAACCAGGCCTGACAGAAGTGACAGGTTATACAAAATTAGAAATGTTTTTATGTATCTGAAACAAAAGTTCAACATGTACTTTTATCCATTCAAGAATCTTGTACTTGACGAGTCTTTGATTTTGTTCAAAGGTAGACTGTCGTTCAAACAGTATATACCAAGCAAGAGGAAATGCTTTGGTATAAAACTGTTTGTACTCTGTGACTGTGACAGTGGCCTGGTATTGGATATTGTTGTATACACGGGAAGTAAAACATTGAAAGATACCATGATGTTATTGGGTATCTCAGGTGACGTAGTGAGAAGCATGATGGCACCTTATCTTGGTAAGGGGCATACATTATATACTGATAATTGGTACACAAGCCCTTTACTAAGTGATTTCTTGTGAGGGGAACATGACAGATGTGTGTGTGGCACAGTGCGTTCTAATCGTAAACATGTGCCCAGGTTCAACGCAGGCACTCATGGTGAAGAGGTGCAGGTGTTTACTGCCAATGACATCATGGCATTACGGTGGCATGACAAACGAGATGTCACATTGTTGACAACCATTCACCATAACGAAATGCAAGACAGTGGCAAAGTTGATCGAGTGACAAATGAACATATTCGAAAAACTAGTGACAGTGATTGATTATACACAAAACATGCGCTTGGTTGACAAATGTGACATGCAGATTGGCTTTGTTGTTTGTGTTCGTAAGAGTTATAAGTGGTACATGAAACTTTTCTTCCATCTCATGGACATTTCAATGCTCAATGCATATAATATGTACCAAGTGAAGACTGGCAACAGACCACCGTACGGTGAATTTTGTTTGTCTGTTGTCAGACAACTCATAATGAAATACCAAATAACAACACCTGCTATACAAAACCGTCCTCAAACTCCTCAGGATATACCCAAGCGTTTGAGGAGGGAGGGTGATCACTTCATAATACAGCTTCCTGCAACTAAGAAGAAATTTGCTCAGAAGAGATGTGTTGTCTGTGCACAAACAAAACGATGGCAACAAAGACGCAAAGACACTCGGTTTATGTGTGAGGAATGTAAGGTACCTTTGTGCATGGTGCCTTGTTTCAAGGAGTTCCACAAGCTGCAACAGTTCTAAAAAACATGTCCAGTGATTGTACGTATGTAAATATATGATAGAACATTAGTATTATACAAGATTTGTGCGTTTATTGTAATAAACAAAAGTGGTAAACAATATTATAATAACTTTAGTGCAGTTATTGTGTTCAATACAGTGAGTTTGTATATATACATTATATACAGTATTGGTCTCACAGGCCACAAATGTTACTAGGAAAAGAAAAAATTAGAAAAGAAAAGAAATAATTATAAAAAAAACGTAAAATAAAGAAGTACGAGTTTGCAGCAATCGCCGATGTTGCCGCCACCCGGTCATTTTGGGTCAACTTCCCGCCTCTGTATCTCGGTAAGTACTGATCAGAATTTTTTTTTGTTACCTTCACAAAAATATACTCTAATTCTGTAAGAAAATTTTTTTTTTTTTTCAAAATTTCTCAAGACATTGGGGCACCCCTTCCGATTTTGGCTTTGGACCCTGAAAGGGTTAAGCCATAATTTTTCCCACTCTACAAATGTAATTTTATTTCAGTTGTTGCTTAAGGACAGAAAAGTAAACAAACAAGGAAAACTTGAAATTATCCTCTGACAGCAAATTTGCATTTAATGATATACATGCAGAAACAAAAACTTAAACAATACATGTGTACAACACTAGAACACCGCCAACCATCTGACGAGATTCAATGTAACACACTAATTAAAGACTAATTTCTCTCAGACAAAAATGCCTTGAATCATCATTAATCTCTATTCCAGACACTAGTAAACAGAACAAAGGCAGCTTCATCGTCTCTGAAGTATTAGCCAGAGTCCTCCTTAAAATGATATGCCCTACCATCACAACTAAAAGTTACCTTTATTATTAGTTCTACCACTACCACTAGTGTTTACCTGGAGTTTACCTGGAGGGTTTCGGGGGT